AATTTTCAGTTTTTCTTCCTTCACTATATGACTTGGTATGAATCTGAACTATTCACTATATTATATTGGCCATGTTTTTACTTTTCGTATTGGGCTTCATGCTAGTGCTTATAAACCTTTATCGAAACATTTGTTATCGGGGTTTTGTACCTAAAAATATTTTCAAATATTAATATTTTTTAATAAATAAGATATTAATTCAAATTATAATTTTAAAATTTATGAGCTCACATAAGAACTAAAGTTGATAATTCATTTGTAACAACTTGCTCAATATCCCTCGAATATGTTAGAGGCAAATTACTTACGAAATATCTGGTGGCAAATAATACTTCAGTATTTTAAATAAACATTATTCATCACTAATATTATGGAAGAACTTACTCTAGATTGGCTCAACTTCTTCACAGTTTAGTAGCACATATAAATTCACTGTTTTGACTAAATCGTTGAGAAATTTTCAACACGTTTTCACTTGGCTTTACATGACTTCTAAATACTGATAGTGCAGCATGTGATTATTCTTCTACATCGAAGTTCATGTTATGACTAATCTTTATTCTTGTACTTCTTACATAGGGCTCGAAGTAGTATTGAGCAAAAGTGAGTGATTTTTTTGCGACAAATATGCTTCACATATTGATCCTTCTGGTCATACTTTATTTTTAACATATTTATTCAACTTGTTCAAATATCTATTAAACAATTACATTATCAAGTTAATAAAAATATATTATCTCAACTTATTCAAATATATTAGAGACTTAACAAATATATGTTTTACCTCTCAAAGGATACATCCAAGATTATTATTACAGTCCATCAATTTTAACTTCGTAAGATAGATGGACTGGAAGATGTTCCATATAATCAAAAAAACCTGGGGGAAATATTTTTTTTAACTTATAGAGAATGATTGGTATGTTATTCTTACCCATTCGTCTAATCATCTTCGCTTAGTTTAGATGAACATAGGTCTTTAAAAGAAAATGTTAAGCTCAGTCAACGGAATTTGATATGTAATCGGAGTAACATACATATTATTTATCGGAAGAAGAACCTCCATAATTATTTGTAACAATCATGACTTTTTAGTCCAAATAACATCATAGATTTTATGTCAACATATCGGTTTATATTTGATTCATAGGCCATCAGGCATTTTTTAAACCTTTAAACCACTGACATATTGATCTTTGCTCTGAACGCTGAAAGAGTATGATGCTTTGGCTTCATTATTTGCCGTCGATTGTTGTTTACTAACTCTAGATTTTTTTGCCGGTAGTACTCTTATAATTTCCATCATTGCTTTGACAATTATTTTTACTCTTAGCCTTTACATCTAATATTTATTATTAAAATATTATCCAGGAAGTTCTTCTCAATATGCATAACATCCAGATTATGCCTATCAAATTAGTTCTCCAATATGGTAATGTCCTAAAAAATATTTTTTATCCAATTATGTTCAACACCATATCCTGAATATTTTAGACTCTTATAGCATTTTGAAAATCAATAATATTGGAATGTCAGAAAGTCTCTATGAGTACACTATCACCACATTAATCTAGGTCGGACGAAGCGACACTATGTCAACAGATAGTTACTTTAGGAATGAATGCTTCCTTATTCCTCCTAAACATAATGATAAGTAGGTAGAAACAAACGATGACAATCAAACCAAGTATCTTTCTCTCCATATGTTTTAGGTAAAGCTTTATTATTCCCATGCAATAAGGACATCTAATTTTCACTGACTTGCTCCAACCAGACAATATACCATAAGCTAGAAAATCACCAAATGGTCCACAACAATGCAGCTGAATGAGAAAATTTATATTTATTGATATTCATATGTGTTGAGACTCCTTCTTCCACATATAAACTTGAGGTCATCAATAATAGTATAAAAAAAGTAACAGATATTTTACTTTTGGATTATATGGTCCAGGTATTATAAGAGTTAAAGAACATGTACAGAGTAGTCATACACATCTCTTGGGGAAAGTTGTATGGTGTTAATATAACTGCTAAACAAGAGTACGGCGTAGCTGTTTGAGACTATAATGGAGGTTTAACAACTCTAATCTCTCTGCTGAGAGCAGCTATTTTGTTTGCCATTTCAATGCAGAGTGAGAGAGACAGAGAGAAGCAGAGAAAGCTGAGAAAACAGAGAAAGGAGAAGAAAGGCGTCCAAAGTTTGTAGCAACAAACTAGAATTTTCGTTCACTTCCGACATTCACGGTGAGGGAAAAACAAATTTGACCTAGAAAACTTCACAATCCTTTCTCAGCAAGTCAAGAAGGGAAACTCGTCAAAAAAAAATAGGGAGAGTAATATACCATACCTGTGATGAGATTCATGTCGCAAGGGACGATGCACTCATCATACCCGGTGTCGTCATGCTCGCTAGTCTCCGCCGGGATTTTAGCTCGGCTAGAGGGAGGAATCAGAAGTAGCAACGGGAGTTCAGCGTCGAGATGGAGGAAGTCGCATGTACAGAGGTGAGGAAGGGTGTTGGTCGGCTTTAGGACAGGATGTCGTGGCTTTGACGAAGTTGGCGTGGATTGTGGCTTACGAAATGAGAGAGGGAGAGAAGCCTGAAGGCTCATTTCATTGGCACTGGAGAGATGATTTTCGTCATTTTTTTCCCGAAAGCAACCGACTGCAGCGGACTGCAGGAGGTAGGGAATGGTCGCGGAAGCAACAGCGGACCGCAGAATTTTTTCTGCTGTGGTTCTGCCGCAATGTCCCAAACAATGACTTAATGACTTTTTATAAAGTAAAGCAGCAGTACCGCCGTCCCAAACGCACTCTAAATCTCACCACAGTGCTAAGAAGTTGAAGCCCCAGTTGACAAATTCATTCACTACATGAAATTTGCTCATTACCGGCGGTTCTGAAAAAAACCAGTGGCTTTTTGGCGGTTGTCCCACCGCCGGAAAAAACGGCATTGGAAATCGTTGCCGGCGGTGTTTTTCCTGCGGTTTATTTCCCCAACGGCTTTCCGGCAGCCTACACCGCCGGTTATCGCCGGAGTCGTTACCAGTGGCTTTCCAGCCATCCAACCGCCGGTACAAATACCGTCATTTGACCGCCGGTAGATCGCCGGGAAACGTACCGGCAGCTAACCGGCGGTCAGCGCCGACGGCATTGCCGGCGGTTATAGCCGTCGGCGAACAACCGTCATACAGCGTCAGTAATCCGCTGGTAAAATACCGGTAGTTAAAAGAGATTTCTAGCGGCGTCAATCAGTCATCCGGTATCGACGTTTCTGACTGTTAAACCGCCGGTTAGTCGCCAGAAACCTGTAGCACCTGAAAAAAAATTTTGACAGCCTCCCCTATATTTGGAACTTTTATTTTATCCAGTGAACGTACGCTCCTCTACATTCGGTTTAGGCAAAAAAAGCGCCTGTACCGAGTACCGAGTACCGAGTTGTACCGAGTTTTTTCAAAAAACTCGGTACATGCGCTTTTTTGCCTAAACCGAACGTAGAGGAGCGTACGTTCACTGGATGTAATAAAAGTTCCTCTATTTGAGGGAGGTTCACCCTAAACTCTAAACCTGCACAGAAAATAATAACCATAATTTTGGGCAACACGCCACTATAATCCATCACAATAATTATCAAAATTTTATTCATAAATTCAACCAAATAAAACAATAAATACCACCAGAGTTCTAAATTAATTCAACCAGAGTTCATCAAACCAAAGTTCTAAGTTCAATAAGTTCAACCAAATAAGTTTACAATCAATTCATCGTAAGTTCATCAAACATAAAAAAGTGTTAATCCTTAGTTGTATCCTTGCTGTCTGGAGATACATGTGGCTACTCGGTCTCTTGCACTTTCTTCCTCTGATTTTCATCTCTGTAGGATTACAGCTCTGCTTGCATTTGATTTTGAACCTTTCTTATCTCTTCAATCTCTTTAGCCAGCGCTGCAATCCTCTGGCTTACAGTTTCTTCAGCTCCACTAGGATCATAAAATGCTGAGGTAGAAGAACTGCCCTCATAAGCATAGCCCTGTGAACCCAAACCATATACGCTCCCCCTCTATCTTCCACCAATAATATCTGACCATGTATAATACTTAGAAATCTGGGTCGATCCTGAAGATGATCCCTCACCAGTGGACTGCCGACTTTCTCGAGCTCGTACAAAATCATCCTAAGAGAATAAATTCATAAAATATATTGATATTACAATTAGTTTTATTAAAATAATTTTTTATTCTCAAACTCCAAAAAATTAGACTCACATGAGCCTTCTTAGCCTTTTCATTAACCCACTGATAGTCAGCTTGATGTTGATGAGTTCTTATATGTAACTCCAGCGGTATTGGCTCCCGACCAAGATACTCTTTCTGAAAATATAAGATATAGTTATAATAACATAAATATATTTAATAAACTAATTTAGAACTCTTACCAGTCATCGTCTATATTCTGTATGAGGAACAGATCCAACAGTATGAAGAGAGCTTCCTAAACTCCCACAGTCAGAGGCTCTGTTCTGTTTATTCTGCTCTCTTATTTTTGTGAACTCAGGGGTCTCCCAATCTCTACTCAGATCAGCCCATACACCCTCTCCAATCCATATTGGACACTGCCCAGACTTTTTAATGTCCATGAATATGTCCCTGAGACGGGTCGCTCCTCTCCTCTCAAAATTGATTCTGATCCTCATGCTATGCTTAGGCAACCACCTAATTCTTTCTGTAAAAATTTAGGCATAACCAAAAAAATTAGTACAAATTAAATAAATATTTAAATTCATACCAAATAAGTATACATGAAACTCTCCAAACCACATATCTTTAACCTCCTTTGGGATCTTCTTCCAGGATAAGTAAGGAGCATCATATTTGTTCTTTATAATATCCTGGATCTTATGCGTAGGTGGCCTTGAAGGATTGAAGTTACAAGTTAATTTTTTTTTTCAATGACATATAATATATCAAAATACAATCAACTTAAAAACATAAACTGAACTTATTTATCGCCCTCAGGCTCAATATATTGACGCTTATCTGCTGCAGTTGCATGATCCCCAACACCAACATCTGCTGGTCTAGATGATCCACCGTGTTCTGGCTGCATCGGATATGGGTAATAATATGGGTAGGGGTAGGGAGGATGAGGACTAGTGGATGGACCTGCTACCTGTGATGATGGTGGGGGATAATATGGATAGAATGGATCAGCATGCGCCTGATGTAGAGAGGGAAAGTGAGGACTCATCGAGGGAGGAGGGAAGTATCCAGGCAAGGGTAGTGGTACAACAGCAGGTGGATCTAATTGACCCTGACCCTGCTCACTCGGGGGGAACTGCTGCTGGCTCTTGGGTGGTGGTGGTGTAGGTAGAATCGATGGAACTGAAGGTCCCTCACCTTTATCAGGCTGCCTGGCTATATTGGGAGTAACACTCAACTTCTTCCGGCAAAACTTTGAGGCAAATAATTTACGAGGAGGATCGTCACCTGAAGCCATATGCATTAAAAGAAATAATTAGTAAAGCATTGTAATATATAAAAAGTACAAATAAAAGAAGCAATTAATAAAAAAAGTATAATTCTACAATTCTAAATATTACATAATACAAATAAAATAAATAATTAATAAAGTAATTAATGAATTACAAAAATAAAGAATACCAGAATACAAATAAATAATTAACATTTTCATTGCTCAGAATTCAAAAAGTACTATTCAAAATATTATAAAAAGTAAAATTATGCAATTCTAAATTATAAAAACTACAATTCTAAATTACAAAAACTACTCAGAATCAAAATAATTTTTATTGCTCTCCAGGGTATCTTCATTTTCATCGTCATTATCATCTTTGTCTGAACTAGTTGAATTATTCACATCTTCTAACTGCATTTCAATACTAGAGGTTGTAGTTGGCATCTTCTCAATTTCAACAGGCCTACAACTTAACATCTCACCCTCTTGATGTGCAGTTGCTATAATGTATTGTTGATCAATTATTTCCCATATTTTTGTTTTTATAACAGCTAGTCAATCTTGTTTATCTGTACGACCACTAGGATATTTATTGAAATAAACTTGTATAGCTTGAATTGCTAACACAAATGGATTAAACTTCCAATATCTTCTATTATGTTTTACATCGACTAAACCATACGCAGGATGAACCCTTGTGCCTATATTCTGTACTGGATCATACCATAGACAATTAAACAAGCATATAAAGTTCTCATCTTCGCCTGTGTACTCTAGGTCGAGAACCTCATTCAGAATATCGTAATAATCACAATCATCTTCTTCATGAGTGTTCCCTCTAACACATACTCCATAATTTTCAATTTTTCTTCCTTCACTATATGCCTTGGTATGAAATCTGAACTCATTCACTATATATATTGGCCATGTTTTTACTTTTCGTATTGGACTTCATGCTAGTGCTTATAAACCTTTATAGAAACATTTGTTATCGGAATTTTGTACCTAAAAATATTTTCAAATATTAATATTTTTTGTAATAAATAAGATATAATTCAAATTATAATTTTAAAATTTATGAGCTCACATAAGAACTAAAGTAAGTTGAGAATTCATTTGTAACAACTTGCTCAATATCCCTCGAATCTGTTAGAGGCAAATTACTTACGAAATATCTGGTGGCAAATAATACTTTAGTATTTTAAATAAATATTATTCATCACTGATATTATGAAAGAACTTACTCTAAGATTGGCTCAACTTCTTCACAGTTTAGTAGCACATATAAATTCACTATTTTGACTAAATCGTTGAGAAATTTTTCAACACATTTTCCACTTGGCTTTACATGACTGATAGTGCAGCATGTGATTATTCTTCTACATCGAAGTTCTTGTTACAACTAATCTTTGTTCTTATACTTCTTACATAGGGCTCGAAGTAGTATGAGCAAAAGAGAGTGATTTCTTGTGACAAATATGCTTCACATATCGATCCTTCGGGCCATACTTTATTTTTAACATATTTATTCAACTTGTTCAAATATCTATTAAATAATTACAATTATCAAGTTAATAAAAATATATTATCTCAACTTATTCAAATATATTAGAGACTTAACAAATATATGTTTTACCTCTCGAAAGGATACATCCAACGATATTATATAGGTCCATCAATTTTAACTTCGTAAGATAGATGGACTGGAAGATGTTCCATATAATCAAAAAAACCTGGGGGAAATATTTTTTTTAACTTATAGAGGATGATTGGTATGTTATTCTTACTCATTCGTAAAGCATCTTCGCTTAGTTTAGATGAACATAGGTCTTTAAAGAAAATGTTAAGCTCAGTCAACGGATTTGATATGTAATCGGGTAACATACATATTATGATCGGAAGAAGAACCTCCATAATTATGTAACAATCATGACTTTTTAGTCCAAATAACATCGTAGATTTTATGTCAACATATCGGTTTATATTTGATTCATAGCCATCAGTCATTTTTAAACCTTTAAACCACTGATATATTGATCTTTTTTGCTCTAACGTGAAAGAGTATGATGCTTTGAGCTTCATTATTTTGCAGTCGATTGTTGTTACTAACTCTAGATTTTTTTGCCGGTAGTACTCTATAATTTCCATCATTGCTTTGACATTATTTTTACTCTTACCTTTAACATCTATAATTGTATTAAAAATATTATCCAGGAAGTTCTTCTCAATATGCATAACATCTAGATTATGCCTTATCAAATTAGTTCTCCAATATGGTAATGTCTAAAAAATATTTTTTTATCCAATTATGTTCAACACCATATCCCGAATATTTAGACTCTTATAGCATTCGAAAATCAATAATTATTGGAATGTCAGAAAGTCTCTATAGTACATCATCACCACTTAATCTAGGTGGAGGAAGCGACCGCTCAACTATGTTTTTAATGAATGCTTCCTTATTCCTCCTAAACTGATGATTAGTAGGTAGAAACAAACGATGACAATCAAACCAAGTATTTTTCTCTCCATGTTTTTGTGTGAAAGCTTTATTATTCTCCATGCAGTAAGGACATGCTAATTTTCCTGCTGTGCTCCAACCAGACAATATACCATAAGCTAGAAAATCACCAATGGTCCACAACAATGCAGCTCGAATGAGAAAATTTTATTTTATTGATATGTCATATGTGAGAACTCCTTCTTCCCATAATAACTTGAGGTCATCAATTAATGGTTGTAAAAAATGTCAATTTTTACTTTGGATTATATGGTCCAGGTATTATAAGAGTTAAGAACATGTACAGAGTAGTCATACACATCTCTGGTGAAAGGTTGTATGGTGTTAATATAACTGGCTAATAAGAGTACGGTGTAGCTGTTTAACTATATGGGGTAAAACTTTCGTCATATAATCCCAATCTTATGTTACGGGATTCAGCAGCAAATGAAGCATACACTCGATCAAAATATTTTTACGCTTCAGCATCTGATGGATGAGAAAGAACGCCACTTTTTACTATTTTCTCCTTATGTCATCTCATATGACATGCTGAGCTCATTGATGCATAAAGTCGTTGAAGTCTTGGAATGATCGATAAATAAAAAAAACGGTAATATGGAACATCTTTCTTTTGACGACGTTGTTTTCCCGAGTTTGGCTTAAATCGAGGAGCATGCAGGTGCGACAATAAACTTATGTTGCATCATTCTTGTAGTATAATATACATCCATTGATATATCAATCAATTTTTATAGCAGTGAGACCCAACTTGGATACTAATTTCCTTGTTCGGTATAAGTTTAAGGGAATTAAATTATCCGTTGGATTAGTTTCCTTGAGAAGGCCAATAAAGTCATTGAAACAATCATGGGGAATATTATACTCAGTTTTAATACTTAGCATCATCACTATAATGGATAATTATGAATGGGTATTGAAACCGTCCCAAATTGGTTTTTGAGCTGCATGTAGTAACTCAAAGAATTTTTGGGTTTCTGCATTTGGTGGCTCTTCCACACTAGCCTTTAAATTAGTACCTCCTACATCAAAAATAAGTTCTTCATAGGGTCTACTCATTTGATCTTTATCAAATGTTTCATAAGCTGTGGAAGAATCGGCATGAGCATCTCTGTGTGGCTCGTACTCGCCATGTGATATTCAAATCCAGTAGTTTGGAAGAAATCCCCTACGATATAAATCAAACTTCACATCATCGGGCTTGAGGAATGCTTGATTTTTATGCTTCGAATATGGACATCTAAATATTTTATCAAACTGAAATGAAGGCAATTGAGAAGAAACTTGAATGAAAGTTTCAACTACATGTATAAATTTATTTGTCAATCTTTTTCGACCGGGCAATAATCTACTATACATCCAATATCTCTCTTATTGGATAGTCATTTGGACGTTGAAGCAAACGTCCCCCTATATAGTTATGAAAATATTTATTAGAACACATGTGTAAACCTTAACAAATGTAGGTGCTATACTTTCAAATAAGTAACCTTTACTTGAATTGGAATGCATTATCTACCTCTACCTTTATTAACATAAGTTAAATCTAATACCTCAACTTTCCTTATCGGGTAATCAGAAGGCATCCGTTTAATGTGACAAAACTATGTAAAATGACTCTCTCTAATCTTATCTTCCACTGGAGCTACTCTAACCTTATCACGTATATGCTCACTTCGTATCCTATCTCTAAGGGTCAAGCCACTCATCCTTCTCTTTTATTGACCATAATTTAGCACTATAAAGCATTGCAGATCTCACCACCATCTTATAGAATTTTTACTAAAGTTTGAGGGGGACTATTCTATCACACAATAACAAGCCCGATTCATTCCTCCATTTCAACCATCCAACTTGAATTGTGCTGATAATATTCCATTCTATTTCACCATCACTTTGAACAAAAGATCCAAGATATTTAAAATGTGCACTTTTATTAATTACTTCCTCTCACTAGGTCTATTGCTACTAAAATTACACTCTATATATTCAGTTTTAGATCTACTAAAGCGAAAACCTTTAGACTCTAAAATTGACCTCCATAATTTGAGTTTACCTTCAACTCCTTCTCTAGTCTTATCAATATGTAGAATATCATCAACAAAAAGCATACAACAAAGTACATCTAAGGTGACACTCTCTAATCTCATCATCCATTGGAGGTACTCCAACATTTCCATATATATGCTCACTCTATATTCTATCTCTAGGGGTAAAGCCACTCATCCACCTAAGAACCCTCATCTCTACAACACTTAACTTAATATAATGCTTCTCTTTTATTGACAAAAATTTGACACCATAAAGCATTGCATAATCTCATCACCATTGTATATAATTTTTCTTAAAGTTTAAGGGGGTCTTTTCTATCACACAACAAGCCCGATTCATTCCTCCATTTCAACCATCCAACTTGAATTGTGCTGATAATATCCCCTTCTATTTCACCATCACTCTAAACAAAAGATCCAAGATATCTAAAACATGTACTTTTACTAAT